TTTAATTATCGCTTATATTATTGTATAACAGATATAATAAATTAATAGCCTAATTTTTTAAATTACGTTTTAATATCTTAAGCATTGTATACTATGTTTCAAATGAAAGTAGAATATGTGACTTGCACACCTTGTAGTAATAGTAAGTTAATATAACCTACTATTACTTTATCAAAATAATTAGTAATAGTATATATTGATGTACTAAATACATATTAATGTAATTAATGTAAATATCATATAACTAATACAGGGTTTTTTGGATAAGTTATTAAAACAAAAATGTAGTTTATGAGTAGCTTCTGCATTACATAGTGGCAATGGTTGTTAATAAGGCCGAAATTGAATTATCTATTTAATTATAGCAAACAATTTACTTATATTACTCTCTTCCCTAATGACTTTTACCAAGTTCTCTGTACACTTGTGCTGTTAAATAGGTTTTCTACAAGTCTATATTATGACAAAGTGTATAATATATTTTAATTTTTATATTTTTCTTTTAATACTTAGATAAAGTACAAGGAAACTAATTCGTTTTGGAACTCTTCTAAATTAGAAGGATATTGCACAATGGTTGACAAGAGTTTAAGTACAATAGATAATGCATTTTTTACGTGCACTATTTCTTGTCATAAAGAACTCAATAAAATTCGACCATGATGAGTGCGTCAATTTTGTTGTTTTTTTCATTGAACTACATTTTTATTGTGTCGTTGCATTCACAACACAATAGAAATTTAGTGCAATGCGTAATTTTTTTTTAATACCCTTTACAATAGTCACTATGGCGGCCACACGATAAAACTACTTACTTTAATTACTTTGATTTTATGCAATTTTCCCTGAGAGCGAATCGATATAATTCTTGATCGAGACTAATAATATTATAATAATAATATAGTAATAATATTATCATAATGATCAAGGTGGTCACGTCAAACATAATGCAACGTTGTCGGGTATTATGTCATTAGAAGGACCCTATATTGGTTATATTAGTATAAGTAGTTCTATTATGTAAAACGTTTCTTGTGAGCGCCAATCGCGATTTACATAGAATTTGACCTTCTTCGTGCGGATCCGTTTGTGATCTAGCCCAGGGGAGATTTTGCCCAACTGTATTTGCATAATACATTTATATACGGATATTGAATTTTCAATACAGAAAATAACCCCTAGTGCTCGTAGTTGGAGTATTGGATCGAATCTCAAGAGGCGGTTTGGGACGAAAATACGATTGTTCGGCGGCCAATAGCGTTAAGGGAAAACAGGCCGGAGTACAAGTTCGCCCAGGAGAGGACTTGATGAATGTCCCAAGCGAGTCCATCAAAAATAAAAAATAAATCAATTTTATGCCCGAGTGCAGTACAGAATTAAACGAAACAAATTAGGCGTACAAGAAGATGACCACTAAAAACAAGCAAAGTCAATATACTTCCACTCTTACTATCTTTCGGTTTTATATTGCCACTATCGATCAACGTTTCGTTGACTATTTTAGTTACAAAATCTGATTTTTTGTTTCTACAACTTAAATCTTGATGTATTCTGGTACTAATTTGTACGTATCATTAAAGTATGCAGATTCTGGTATTTAACTGTTATTGGTGTTGTAACTTACACGTTTACAACATGCTAAGGGCGTAAGCTTAAATTATGAAACATATCAAAAAGTAAATACAGACCGCTGGTAAAATTTGTCTTTAAATAATAACTAACGCTGGGTATTTCCAACGATTAATTCTATTAATTCCAATAGGTAGGATTTTACAAATATCTGATTTGAAAATCGTAGATTTAATTTGACATTTAAAACTAGCTAAGTGTGCCCGGCTTCGCTTGGCTTACAATAAAAATACTACCTCATCCTCATTGTTATCCCATCTACCTAGAAATCGAGCCAGTAGTTTCAAAGATTACCCAGGATATAGAACTGGATTCGTAATTAATATCCTAAGAGTGCTAGGTGTTTCTCAGCCTTATGGTATTTCTTTCGAGGATCCAAATATAATATAAGTGCAAACTTTGAACGAAAAAGTGCAGCGGTTTGGATGCCTATTAAGAACATACATATACACACTACATTTTTTATAAATAGAATAAATATAATAATCATTGTTAGTTGTTGCTGTACAACAAAAATATACCAATTTATTTATGGCCTTCAATGTAATCCAAGTTAGCAGCCATAATTCTACACTAGTAAAATAACATCTCCTATCCGTTTTTTATATAAATTGGCTTTTATTTAGATATCAAAATTTGTAGTAAATGAATAAAAAAAATTATATTTATATAATATTATTCGGCATTATATTTATATATATGCTTTCCGTTAAAAAATACAGCTTCTAGGTATTACAGCAGTACGATTTTAATAGTTCCAAGTGAATGTATAATGTTTTATGTTTAACACCTACCCCTGTGTGCACACTAAACGCGATAAAGAAAGTTTGAACATTTTTACCTTGAGCGGGTATGTATGAAAGCGTACACGGTTCGAACATTCATGGGACTACTATAAATGTTTATAGACGTTACGCTTATGATTACCAGTCTCAAGGGTATTACCAGTTCTAAGAATATAAAATAGTATACCTAAACGATGGTAAAATCTTGCAATGCGTGTGGTGGAAGTTAACATGCAAAAGTTCAAAAAGCTTACTCAATTGTACAAAAAACTAAATTAGACGAAAAACCTATTTATGCAATGGTAACGCTGTTAAAACATTTTTTGAAAAAAATCTTGACCCGTAGTAACCAAGTGATTTCAATATATTATATCAAAGTGGATAATCTTACTCTACCCGATAAAATACAGGAAATATATTTACTTAATTTAATATTTTCGTTTTAGTCCAACTTAGTTATTAGCAACTGTACCAAGAGCAAACGAGGTAGAGAATATAATATTTCTGCGGTAATTGTTAACACAACGATGAAGTAATTGAGCGGTCACTTTTGAAGTTAAATAATGATCTAGGAATAATTCTCTGTAGATCTTAAACATTATACGTTAATATAAACCAGGCTTTTTATTATTGTCATTTCATTCATATCAAACAATCGCCGTGTATAATAATATAACGCTAAGTACGGCATTTAGACTAAGCAACAACCCTTATCGATGTCGGCAGGTACCTATAACTAATGTAAGCACCGAGACTTGCTTTATACGACCGTCTTGACGAGATATAAGTCAGCCTATTTACTTTCCTCGTGAATACATTGCCGGTTAAACGAGGCAATTTAAAATCGACTAAAACGGCCAGTTATAAGATAACGTTAAGAATACGTTTTCGAGTCTACGCCTGCCGTTATAATAAAATACATCTTACTTCCGTATTAAGACACAGTTTCTGTGCACTCAGGTCAAAGTCTTTTTGAACCCGGCAGGTGTTATAATATGTGATTTGTATACAATTCGTTAGTTAATTATCAGGAATATGTTTTGCTCGGTTATACTTGGATTTAAATATGATATGAAACACCTGCGCGCGCAAAAGCTTTGTCATTTTTTTTCATTATTTTTTTGTGTTACTTGTGTTTACAATAGTGAACCCGATAAGTAATGATCGTTTTCTTGACGCTCTTGCAAAATCTCCTTTGTGTACGCTCGAAATGTCAGCCGGCTGTTTTTTTAGCCAACCTTAACGCTTTTTGAGGAGAACACGTACCTACATTTTTGTCGTATAAAAAACACGAAACGGCTTTATGTACTCGGCGCGTTATAAATTTATTATAAAAACACGATTTTGACACAAAAAAAGACCTTTCACCGTACCTTTAAAAATGACTTTTACTGCGACCCCTTATGTTTTTTGATTAAAAACATAAAGTTCAATAAAACACCAGAAATTGATTACACAAAAATTAAAGGTTCAAAAAAGTAAGAAAAATATCTTAGGTAATATTAAAAATGATTTTCTTTCATCAAAGCTAAAGTAGGTAAAGCTTATTTATACTTTATACTTTATAAAGAAAAATACGTAAATACGCTATAAGTTGATTGCGATAAAGTAAAAGAAAAAAAGAACACTTTTGGTTTAGTTTTAAACAGTGTTAACGTGAAAATTTAATTTCAACTTTTCTAAACCTGAACTTTTTAATAAACAAAGCGTATTCCGCATCCTTTAAAAGCTGCGAACATCATTTTTTTTTAATACGATATATCACACCCGCCTGTTTTGTGACTTCTAACCGTTGATACTACTACGTACGTGATGGATTAGCCTCTGGTTGGAACAACCAAAAACGAAACGAATGAAAATAATAAATGTATTGTCCATTTTTCATTATACCACATATGCCCGGCGTTAACTGACGGGTTCACGCTTTGAGCTTTCACTGGGATTTATTGTGCGCCATACAGACATTGTTCTGGGTTATCGGTACTCGATACCACATCACATAAGTATTTTCATATTGGTCGTCGGTAGATTTATAGCTCAACGGTCGAGGAAATCCGGTAAAAGGTAGCCGGGTCACCGATAAGGTCCGCACGCAGAAGCAATAAAATAGTGTCGCTAAAAAAAATCGTTTCGGTGGATGTTTAATAGGCTTCTATTATGATTAAAAATACTCAATTAGTGCAACATTTACCGGAGGTACAGGGGGTGCCCCTCGTCGAGGCCTTAACTAAAATCTTTTTATGGGTATCGGATTTTCACATGGAAATCGGAATTAACTCTAGCCAAAATTAACATTTCACCCTGTAACTAAAAAAATAGTATTTATAACAGTGTAGACCCCAGTGATATAATTTTCTCAGTTAAATTTGTTCTAATAGGAATATTTTTGTTATGACTAGAGTTAATTCGGAATACCTAAAATTGTTTTTATTTTGAAATTATAACTGCACTTTGATTTTGCAAAACCAACGGATGTGCTTAGCTTTGCTTTTATTTACACTATTTATATTTTACTAGTATCGGATCACCGAAAACCGTTTTTAACTTGAACCCACAGTAATAATATTCAACCGTTTTTGTTCACAGGCTCACTCATCCAAATATAGTACAGCTGCTGGAGACGTTCGAAGACAAATCAAAAGTCTACTTGATCATGGAATTGTAAGTGTCATCTATTATTATAAAATTAATTTGATCTAGTTTTAATTATCGTTATAATTTTATGGAAAATTTGATGGTAAATCGCTCGCGGGTTTTGTGATTATGAAATTTAGAAAATATATACTTAAATGACCCCTTCTAACTTCTCGTTGGTATCCTAAAACCCTAACTGGGCCCGCTGCAGTGAAATAGTTAAGTACGAATTCACCACAAATCCTATTTAAACAGAAATGGAAATAAATAAAAATAAACTCAATAATATAAAAAAATAACAGCCGCCAACAAACTATAAGATAAACTAACTCTTCGAATAAAAAACCAATAACATGGTGAAACGGAATGCCAAAAATCAACAATACATATAAAAAAAAGTGTAACTAATTTAATTTTCAACACAATGAAATCATCATCATATCTCTTACAAACATGACTGAAGCCTTCACTCAACACTTAAAAATAGTATCTATGAATAAAATTGTGATTCAAACTCATAAATTTGAAACAACACGCGGAAGAAAATATTTTAAGTGAATTTGGGTTAAATTCTATCACCAAAAGAACTATTTAAACCAATTCCAAAAGCAAATTTAATATCCCAACTACATACCAATATCACTATAAATACATTAGGTAAAATAATGGAATAATGAACAATAAACATTCAATTAGCACTTGAAAACATCGAAATTAATAACAGACAACATATGGGCTTTCGCCACAATCACTCAACTTTTGACACAATCCCGAACCATCAAACTGACACATGTAAAACAAATAACCAAAAACCAACCTCTTATACTGATTGCATTCGATTTAAAAAAAGCATAGTTAGACGCAATTGACCAATACTATACAAGTCTAAAAGCATAATGTTCTATCAAATTCTATGCATTTCGACATCAAACTAAAATGGACTACTCACATAAAGAAACTAAAACAGTTGCGCAAAACTAGAATGAATTTAATAAAATCACTTGCACACCGTTGACATGGGGTGTCAACCAAAAACCACTCTGCTTTCTTTATAAAACTTTACTAACCTATGTCTCATATTTATAATACAGTCAACAAAAGACTTCTGCAAATACTCGACCCAATCTACAAACAACAAAGAACTTTAAAAAAAATGTATAAATCTTTGATATGGCTAAAAAACGTTTTTTTATGTAAGTTGTTATTTTTTAGGCCCATTCCAATTTGTGTATAAACGCATGAAAAGTATAACTAAATGCATAAAATAAACCTATTGAAACTCGATTTATATTGAGAATTTTCACGTTTGTTAGAAATACAACTTGGTATGACTAATTGGTGGTTACAATAAGACTAATCTTCGAGATAATCAACAAACGTATACTATTGAATGTCCATAAAAGAAAACACATAACTAGAAAAAATAAAATAGTAGAAGTAATCTTAAAAATCAGAAAAACTATAGTTGTTATTCTAGAACAGTGGGCGTTTAAGAAGCCAGTAGACATTTATTTTTCAACTTTGATAGCTCAGGATTGGCATCTAGGTGGTCCGTTAATTGCAATCGGGGATTTCCATCTTTAATGGTAAGATGGCAGATTAAATACCATCCTAATAGCTATAAAACGATGTTAATTTATTCAAACTCTTTTTGACATTGACATAAGCCGTTAGGCATAATAGATAATATCTTTGATTTCCAACTTGCTCCAATACTGTAAAATAAATTTACTTATTCATTACTATCGTTTCTATACGCTTCTACCAGATACCAGTCACATTTGTTGTTTTTTATTCTTACATCTTTCTTATAAAGAATACTGTTTCATTTTATTATAATGAAATAGAAAAATCGCTTTTTATATTTACTCAGTTTCAACAAAAATGTCTCAAGCTCTACAAAAGACCAAGTTTTGTACAATTATACGTAGATAATAAGTGATAAGGGTTTGATAACTTATAATACTCTTTAATGACACTAATTTGAGACATTCGAGATGTCAAACGTTTTGATGAAGTTTTATAATAACAAAGCAACGGAACAAAACTAATTACTACCTATACAACTATACGGTCTGTCACTATTTTCCAGAGTTACTGGCGGCGAATTGTTTGACCGTATCGTGCAAAAAGGATCGTACACCGAAAAGGATGCGGCTCATTTGATCCGCCAAGTGTTGGAAGCTGTTGATTACATGCACGAACAGGGTGTAGTGCACAGGGATCTTAAGGTACCTATTTGAAACTGCCTTACCCGTTTTTGGAACTGCTACTTTTTCACAATAACTGCGACTTCAAAATTATTACTTTTTAAATAAAATATTATTACATTATCATAACATGATTCGTTTTATGGAAATAGCCCGAAAACCTTCTGTACTACAGTACGGACGAAGACAGCAAAATCATGATCAGTGACTTTGGTTTATCAAAAATCGAAGACTCTGGCGTTATGGCAACGGCCTGCGGTACTCCTGGCTATGTCGGTGGGTACAAATAATATAACACCTTACTAGAAAATTAATAACACTTTTTTTTGTAAGATAAATACAGTTTACTGTATCTTGAAATGCCTCGTCAGATAAACTATGCGCTTTAGATAAGTATAGGTATATTATGTAATCTATTGTATATACATAATACAAACACATTGAATCACAAACAGGTATAATTATTAGATAAACACTAGTAATAAACTATTAAAGGGAGGACCTCATATCTAGAATTATTAAACGTCAAAGAGCTAACAGCTTTCTTTTTCATTAAAAGAGTGATGGATATTATATCTGTCGTGGGAATACCACAGAACTGCTAGAAGTAGTATATATATATAATCTATACTAAGACAATTCAAAATTGATTTGTATTTTTATAGTCATATTCAGCTTATATTTGTCAAGCAGTTGATTAGTTAAATCATATTGATTCAAGTTGACCTATCTATCATTTCGCTTTAAAATCAAAATTTTAAAAAAAACAAGTTCAAATGTATGTATTCAGAAATATATGTAAAATCTAAACGATTGTCAGTCCCCAGTATAATAATATTATTTTAAACATATGTTCTTGTATTCCATTCACAGTTTACTTATTTCCCTTAACGTAATACAATTGTTGCAAGTAACAAATTATCAAATTTAATTATGCCAAACCAGTATAATCCGCGTATGTTTGTCAAAATAATCTATTATGGTACGACCACTTCGGCATAAACTGTTGTTCTGAATGACAGCTCATGTGGCTGCTTTATTAAATCATCGTATCGTTCTACAAATCTGACATCCGCATCCACCTCCCAAGGCGCTACTGTTGTATTCTAACTAATATAATATTTTAAATCTTAATTAAATCTATTATAACCACACGATGGTTGCTATATGACAATACAGATTATGATTCTTTGTATCAAGCTAACACTAGGATTAGTGATGACTGCTATATAACTTATAGGAATAGCATTGACTAAACATATTAAGAGCACCACCGAAATGTATACAATAACTACTTTAAAATATATTTTAATATAAGTCAAAATATACTTTGTTTTGAAAAGAAAGAAATAAGATAAAATATATTGTAAGAACCGTGGTTTGCAAACAACAACTACAGCTTTATCAACTTCGCAATTTAAAAAATACTGAGAAATCATTTTTACTGTCAGAAAAAAATTTAGAAACTAAATATAAAATAGAGTTATTACGGTCTGGTGGCGTCGTTCTTGTGATGAATGTTTGTGCATGTTTTTTGAGCTGCCAAGAAGTTTTTTAATTAAAGTTTTATTGTTGCTTTTGGGGTTAAAAAATTAAGTTGTTCGTTGTTGCTTTTAAGTTTTACTATAACATAAAAAAAAATAATTTATAAGAAACTCATTACAAAAAAAGTCCAAAGAATGTATTTGCAGTGTTCACAATATGAAACTTCAGGGTTCATCGTTAGGTTTAGTTAGGTTTTTATTAATAGTTTTATCGATCAAAAGTACCAGTCGTCAGCCGAGTTGACCTCTATTCTCTATACATTATAATATGTATCTAATCACGGATCTCATAAAAATGTTTTATCAGTTAAAAAAACTCCACGAATTCACCAGAATCATAACACAAACAAATCTATTACATTTTGAATAATTAGATATATTTTGATAAAGAAAAATATGTATAAGCTGTGGGGCATAATATAATCATTTTAATCTTTATAGTCAATTTCTACTTGCTATTTATAATCCGGTTCGACGTTAATGTTAGAACACACGAACTACTAACTTGACTTACTAGCGTTTCTTCGCTATTGTTGAATACAAATTATTTCGGTGTAATCCTTTCCATGCATTTGAATAATAAAACAAACAAACCAAAATCTGATTACTAATACATGCATCGAACAGATCTCAGAAACCATAAATCCTTTCACGCGTAAGATTTGATTAAAATATATTTTGACAAAACACGCGTTTTTGTGCATACTATTATGTTAAAAGTATGTACTATTGTCAAAAAACGGTGCCATATCGATCTTGCAATATCTTAGATCATCAGTCTCCTTCTCTCGCTATAAAAATATATAAAGGACTATGGGGAAAACAATCATGGTCAATTTTTTGTAAGAATAGTTAGCTATAGTCATCTTCTTGTGGTTTGTTCGATCCATGATCAATGTGTCTAAAAAAGATCCGCGCTGTAGTGAAGTTTTAAAAATACTTACTACGGCAAAGCTAGTGGTGTTCTGAAATTTTGCATTGCGATACAAAAACATTAGAAAAATAGACTATTATCATTTTTTCCTGTAGCACTTTTTATCCGCAGAAATTACTCGAAAATAGGCATAATATTACTATAGGTATCAAAATAATTCGGTGTCACAACATTTTCTGAATTTGATTTTTCAGCGTATCGAACCGTATAAACATAATTCGAAGTACCCTATTTTACGTAGTACACGAACTTTTGGTCTGAATCCAAAAAGGATATTCTACACAAACATCCATTATATGAACAAAATCTCTTTATAGTTTCTCTGCATGAATAATTTGCACGTGCCGTTACATAACGTACGTGCACGAAATTTAAAGTACTTGCTGCGTGATGTCTTGGAAATCCTGGAATAAATAATTCAGAACATCTAAATACTCATTGGAAACGTCCATTGTTATTTGTATATGCGCTATATCATATAGCGTGTGTTCAAATACATTTTTCCCTGCTGACGCTGGCATATTTTATTTATATAACTCAAAAAACAGTTCATTCATTTGTTTTAGACGTATGAAAAATAGTAATATACTCGAATCTATAATATCATCATTTTAACAGTTTTTTTTTTAATTTAATCATAAGTTATAGTGAACAATAATCAGGTCAAATATTAAAAGATGTATGTTTTTTCCCCCATTTGAATAATTAACATTTATAATTGTATACTCTTTGATCATTTTTTTAGCTCCAGAAGTACTGGCACAAAAACCGTATGGAAAAGCCGTGGACGTTTGGAGCATTGGTGTGATATCGTACATCCTTTTATGTGGTTACCCGCCATTTTATGACGAAAACGATGCCAATCTATTCGCTCAGATTTTGAAAGGTTTGATAAAAAATAAATATAATTTAAAAAACACAAATTATTGTTTTTACCCATCTTGTACAAAAACAAAATTTTATCTACAGTTGTATTATTAAACTTATCCTACAATTGCATACAATTTATTTAAAATTTTATAAAAAATTCTTTAAAGGTTTTCTTTGAATTAATTGTCAATTAACTATATAAGAATCCAAACATTTTATGTTAAGAAAGTATGCTACAGTTTAAGTATATTATTTAAAATAAGGACTGTTATTTTTTTTAAAGTAATGCCTTTATAAATTACTACTTAATGAAATATTCTAAGGAGCAATTATATATTTCTGTACCAATAATAATTGTTTACTCTTGAGTCTTGATTTTGCAGAGTTATTATAGTTTCGTTTCTAAGCGTCTTGACCTTTAGGAGCGTCTGGCAAGTTGGGCCCCAAAGTCTCATTTTCCTAAGGCCCTCGCTAGTTGCACCATTGCCTTTAATACGTTCTGACTAACGACACATATTATGGTACCTATCACATAACATTTAATATTCCCTACAGGCGAATTCGAATTTGATTCCCCCTATTGGGACGACATCAGCGATTCGGCGAAAAACTTCATTAAACAACTGATGTGCGTCGATGCCGAAAAGCGATACACGTGCCGCCAAGCTTTGGCACACCCTTGGTGAGTGTAAACTATAACTGTTAACAATCAAATACGAGTCTGTAAAATTCAACAGAGTATCGTTTACCTTTGCTAACTTGTAACGAAAATCTTAACTATGACCATTCAGGATATCCGGTAACGCTGCCAGCAACAAGAACATCCACGAAACCGTTTCGACACAACTCAAGAAGAATTTCGCTAAAACCAGATGGAAGGTACTTGTATAGTTTTTTATTATTATTTTTTGTTTTATATAAACTAATATTCTTCAAAATATGCACTATGGACTAATAACCAGACAGGCAGGTTGAACCGCAAGCGTCAAGCGTATATACCTATTCGATAGATATATTATAGTCACATCGTAAATTTTCATTTAAATCCGATCAAAGCGTAGTCTTCCTATATCAAAACCGTCGTCTTTGTGTAGCCTTTACACCACAGACTCTTGACAAACAATAAGCGGTTGTCCCCGAGTGTGTATGTGTGTATGACGTGTGTCTGTGTGTGTTTCCAGCAATTAATGAACGCCATAACGATGGTGCATAAAATGCAGAGGTTAGCGATGAACGTGTCAGACGCTGACGCATCATCGACGACGCCCGGGCCGGGCAGACAGAAGTGCACTACTATTGTAGAGGAAGCCGAAATCGAATGTGACGGTGATTCTTATGAGTCTAACGATGGCGGCAATAATAGTTACGGTGCAGAAGGTAGAACCGGCAAAAACGCAAAGAAAAAACAAATATGTATAAACAAAACATTAGTGTGTGTGTGTGTGTTGACGTTTGTGTACAACCAAATCTATAGTAAACAAAATAGACACATTAGAGTGGTTCATTAAAATAGGGTTAGGGCACTTTTAGTCGTTGCCATCTCCTAATTGACTCGAAATGGATGAAACTATATGTGCTTCTAAAACGATTGAGGTCTTAATTTCGATGTTAACAAGGGCCAGTAGCCAGATATCTAAGAAATTAGGATTTTTTTCGTAAAAAAAAATTATTTAAACAAAAAATATATAATTTTGCAATATTTGCTCAATTTCTAGCAGATTGATTTAGACTAAACATTTTGAAAACCTTAATTTTTTGTAAAAATCGATTGAATCATTTGAACGAGAATTTTGTAGGAAGTACCTTGAGTTATTTAAGGTACACGCTTTTCATATTTCACTACAGTGAGTTGGTACAAACGTGCTGACATCAAAATTAAATCCCAAATTTTTAGAAGAATTTTTTAATATTAATTTCAAGTCAATTTAGAGCACGCGTCGGTTGCAATTTCCCTAACCTTATTTTAACTAATACTCTAGTTATTGTTTTGCCCAACGGCTTTCTTGAATGTAATCGTAATAAAATATTTTTTTATATTATGTTGAACCTACGTAGACCAGCAATCACGATTAGATAAGTGTCTCTCATTTCATAGTGTGCTTGCAATGTTGTTGTTTTTTCCTAGTTAGTGGTTTTATTTGTATATACAATATAAAATTGCGTGGTGTCGATTTTTTTACCGCATAAAAATGACTATAACGTTCACCAAGCCCTTATCATAACACGAGACCAACCCTAGAACATAATATCAAGAATACCGATTAAGGGATTCAGGTAAAATTTCTATTTCGTTCCACCCCGGTCCCCGTGCCTAGTTTTATTGATAAGGATACTGAATCCTTTAATTTGACCAACACTCATTTTAATTGTTTTTGTATTTTCTTTTCTCTGATCAATAAAAACTCGCTTGGGTATTGTACGTTTAATTATTTTGACTATAATATAAGTGGAGAGTGTTCAACACTGACCAAAAAATCACAGCTATTTGAAATTGATGAGTTCAGAATACATTTTTTCATCCCCTTATTTCGACCACTAAGCGCACTGAGAATCAAAAAATGAAAGTTTTAACCTTTAAAAATGTAAGGATTTTACGGGCATGCTTCAGTGGTTTATGTGCCAGATACGGTTAAGTCGGAAATTAAAAGACAGCGTTATTGCGTTAATAGACTTTAATCGAACATTCAACAAGGTTGTAGCATACATTGTTGACAATTTTTACAATATATTCTGTTCTTTTTATGCGACGGCTGTAATTATAGCTAAAATATCCTAATTTGAAATAATATCATTAATGTGCTTTCCACCGTATTAAATTAATAATGTTTTGAAAAAATCATTCGAATGGATACCAAAAAAAAAGCCTGATCACTCGTGTATCTAGAAATGAAACAGCGTTTTAGGGAGTAATATTGGAGTAAACGCATTTTGTCTGTCCACTTAACTAAATCAATTGGCCAATATTTCATTTTTGCCACATAGTTCAAGCCACTTACATTAAAACTGGGAATTATACTACAATATGCACATTCACATCCACACTTGTGATTCACATAGCCAGATATTCAGATATCGCACACGCTTATATGAACTATATGAAATAATTATTGTACTAATGCAATAGAGCTAGTCCACAAAATGCACTCGTGCGGGTAAAATTTGTTTTTAATATTTTTTATATTTATTATGGGTTACATATTATCGCAACACTTATCAAATAAAAAGTTCAAATAATACAATATTTTTGTTTACTTTGTAACCAAAAATATCTCTATTTTCCAATATGTTTTTTTTTTTAAACTTTGTCCTTTTCAAACCTAGCAGTATTTTTATCAACTACATATTTTCAAATTTTTACATAGTATGCATTGAGTTTCTTTTATTCATACTGTGATGTCCGTTTTTTGTAATGAAAATTTCAGCGTTATCTTTTTTACTCACTTCTATGTATTTTTTAATAAAATGTATTTATACCTTTGAGCTCTCTTTGGTATTTATCGAGTTTTTTTAAGACATTCTGCTTAGTGGAATTTTATTAAACTAATGTTTTAAAATAAAATAACCTAAGCTAAAATCTGAATTACTAGTTTATATGCCAAATAAATGATATATTTCTGTCAAATTATAAACAATTTACCAAATAAGTATTATATGATATCATAATATAATAGGTATACAAGATTTTATTACTTTATTACACGCTCGTGTGTTGATTATACAGTTAATTACATTATATTATAGTACCGAAAAATAGATTCATTCTTGCATGTGATTTTTTACAATAGGTAATATAGACAATATTACAGCTATTGTAGATCCATATCATAGTAATTATATAGTCACTATAGAGCTTGTAAATAACGACTGGCGATTGTGTTTCATAGAAAGTTTATACGTAGCAGCTACGTTGGTTGTCATTTGTCGTATACCTAACAATAAAATATAAATTCACAATACTATTATTAGTGCTGCAATCTATTGAATTCGCCGTAAAACCGAATGCCCAAAGACTATAAACAGAGTGAACGCAAAAAGCGTCCGTCGATGCCAAAGTTCGCCATTACGCTTTTATGATACAATATTATAATATAAACATTTAAAAAATACAATCAGTTTTAAAGTAAATTGCAATCCATATCTCTTTTAAATGATATTTATTAAAATAAATTAATACCATGCGCCGAGACGGATCAATAAAACACAAAGTTACGCTTAAAATATACTAATTTTACATGCACATGTCATATTATATAATCAAAAATAGCTATTTCGATCACTCCCAAAATATACATAAATCTAATTACAACATTTTATATTTGATCCATCGCACAATAGGTAATCAAACATCAAACATCTACAATAATCTCAAGCTGTCGAATATTTTATAGGAGACTTACATCGTAAAATTGAAAAGTTTTTTAAAAGTTAATTAACATCCATTGTATGAATAAAATGTAGTTTATATATATATGGTCATAAAACTGCGACCGATATAAGTACCTACGCGTTTAACAGTTTTGCCACTGTCAACACAGCTGTACAACGCCAAACCAGAATAGAAGACCAACTAATTGTTTAATAGTTTAAAAACTATGACTTATTTTTAATAATAAACTAAAATTACTTAATGCGTTTTCTTTACATGTGTAGCAACAATTTTATGGTAATAGCTAACATATACCCAACAATATTTTCTTTTATAAGCTCACTTATTAAAAATCCCAAGCTTGTCAACTCAATTGTTAATGTCATTGGTTTAACTGTAACTTTGATTTAAAGTGGTTAATTAAATTCCAACGCAGACAAATGCATGTACTACAATATATTATGATTAAAAAAAATATATGCCTATTGTATTTTAATATCATAGGCGTAATTTCAATTTTTAATTTGGGGGGGCTGGAATTTTTTTTTAAATATATATATAAGTAAATATATTTTTGTATTTCAAAATTGTAAGCATAACCTAATTTTTTGGAGGGGGCTAAACCCACCCTAGCCCCCCCCGTATTTGCGCCTATGTTAAATATGTTGCACATTTCCAAATTAAGAGATTTAAGTTTCGATACTAAACATTGTCTTATAGGTAACTGCTTAAAAGCATTAAAAAAAACTAATACGTACCTCAGCTCTTAATCGTCTGGTTGATTAATGGTCACGTATATCACATAACTTAATAATAATAACAATGGTAAACTTTTTTCAATAATTCACTATAAATCGGTATACCGCGTTAAAATAAATTATATATTTAAAACTGAGCTAACAAATTCGTATTTATCTTAAACTCGACTAAATGAACACAATGTTTCAATACAAAGTCATAAGTAAAATTCTAGATTCGAGAACCGACTGCCTAAGTATGATAAGTAGCATTACAAAACAGCTGTTTGGGTCCCTTTAAAACACATGGGAATTCTACACTAAAGAGCCTGCGCAGGACCTGTTAGGGAGTAAAACTCTCGCTACCCTGAAAGTAGTCCGATTACACTAATATGCTTTCTGTTCGAAAAGGGAAAGATCTTAGGTCTTCGTCAAGTTTGTTGCTTATTTTTTTCTCGGTTTTTAGTAACATTAACAAAAATCAAAAGTACGATGCAATGCGCCCTGTAGAACGGTTTTCCTCGTTCAAAAAAATAATTTTTATAAACGTTGTTATCAGACTACTCTACAAGATGTAAGAATTTTTCTCTTTTTGCTATTTTTATCATTAAATTGAGTATATAGCACTCGGAGATAAATTGCATACAATAAAATAATTACATCTAATATATTATTAATCACGATATATTTGTCAGAATGACAACAAATTGTTAATGAATTAATTACTATTAAGCGACCGATACTATATTACTCCCAATATTTACAGTTTTTTTTTAACTATATAGGTACTATCACCATAACATTGTTAATTGCCCTAACTTGACCGATGGTGTCGATATTGTTATAATAATTTACTGGTTTTTTTTTTAATTTTTTATGTTATTGTAATATACATATTAGTGTTTTATTTCTTCCCTTCACTTGGATTTTCTTCTGTAGACAGCTCGGGTCATATTCCCGTTAAATAAGCGGTTTATTGTCCAACTAAAATTAATATTACCTAAAAGTTTGGAGGAAAATATTACAATTATAAAAATTATATAAGGAGTTGAAAAAAACATGTATAATTTTTTTATTTCAAATATTTAAAAAAAAAAAAAGTGTTTTAATATATGTTGCTACGATAGTTATTTTCTTTTTAAAATATGATCTAAAAAGATTTTGAAAATATTGGTAAATATTACAAAAATATTTTAATTGTTTTCCCAATAATTGAGGCGGTTATCATTTACCTATTAGACTTTTTGCGGTACATAGGTACAGTAATATTATATTAACATCATCGTTTTATAAAAATGCATCTTGTGTGATCACCTATTGTTACCTAGTTGTTTTGTTCACCACATATTATATTTTTCACTGGATACATGTTTTTTGTCCGGATAGCGTTTACACGCGGGATTCGGTCGACGATGTACTTACTCGTTTCTAAGACATCTGTACGGATTGTAGTTTTTTAGTAATTTTGTGTATTAATGTAAGTTGTATTGCTTTTGTTGTTTTCCAGCAAGCCTTCCTAGCATCGACGGTGGTGCGCAAAATGCAAATGATGGCGTTGAACAGCGGAGCTGCGAGTAGCCAAGACGCGCCAACAGACCGACCGTCTGGATCTAATTTATAGATCAAACTCTGAAGCTCCAGACGAACATATTAGTACATAAAAAAAAAAAAATTTTTAAAAAAAATCAATAATGTTGACATTTAACACTCAACTCGATAAAATATAAGCCATTAACTGTTCTACCTTGTTTAAACACAAACACAACAGCTTTTATAAACATTTTACTGTAATAATATTACATTATCATCTCATTAACGGTACGATTATGTTTTTATTAAATCTTACGTTAACATATTTAAGCGGGCCGTAAATGGTTCCATTATTATTAAAATTTAAATCTCATTTTGTAGCTCTTCTATTAATTATCAATACCTACCTAATAATAAATCGGGTACCTTTTTTTATCGCCATTAATTTTATTAATTTTACGGTATATTTTAACCAATTGTAATCTCTAATCGTATAGCTTAGATTGTATTGTTGTATTGAAATCATAATCAAAAAAAAAAAAATATTAATTCGTACTTTGTGTAATAATTGTAAATTTGTTTTTATTGTAATCAAATAAGTAATGCGCTCAAATAAGTCCATAACAGCAACAGCTGGCAAGCCCATGTAAGGTCTTCAGCATTTTATGATACAGTTGATGGATCTCTCTTAACCTGCTTATCGTAAAATTCTAAAAACCAAATATTGTCATAAACATAAGTGTTGAAAACCTCTAAAATTTGAACAACGACCACAAGTGTTATTTTCATTGATCGTATTATTGTTATCGTACTTGAAAATGTTTCATTGCTCAAATTTCAGAGGCAAACATTGTTGATGATTTTTTTTCATTCGACGTTACGTTACTCACACCGAGATACACTTTTTAAATTATATTATAACAACAAAAATAAAAAATAAATAATACAATTAAAAATAGCAGAGATTTAACCACACATAAAGTATATCTAATTGCGTTTTAACATTCCACAAAAGGTTTTTTTCGCCTACTTACATAATACATTATTATCATTAAAAATTAGAAATATGTATTCTGTGATACTTTTGTGCACATAGATATATGTTATTAGTGAATACGATTTAATAAATAAGAAATAATAATAAGCCAAAACACTATGCCTAGTACATTATACTTAAAAAATATCATGCACGCATGATGCATTATTATTATTGTATTATACATAAGATTTGTTTCTTTTTTTTACGCACAATTAAAAACAATTATATATAATATACCAGTTTTCTTATCACATGCACGTAATTGTAATTTATTATAACTAAAATGTTCATTTTATCATCCTTTATATTTCTAAATTGTAACTTTCGTAGAGCTATACTACTCGGTATTTGATTTTTCGGCTTTCATTCGTTATTAAACTTTAACTAAAACATAGATTATAACTCTTATTTTACAGTTTTACTTTTAACAGTATTTACATTACGTTCACATTCTACATAGGTATATTTTAATAGAATATTATCAAAATGTGTAATCACAAACAATAATTAGCATTATTGTTATTTTAATTATTATTAGTTTTTATGGTAACGGCGCCGTCCGTGATTTCCATAACTATAGGTATATTAGGTATGTGTTATATTTCTTAAGCCTGAGAAGTTACATATTGTTTTTTAAACTTAATTACGATTGGTCACTTAATTTTACTAAACACACTTAGGATAAATATACATTAAATTGTTATATTTATAGGGTTAAATATATATTACGACAAGTATAAACTATAAGCTGTTATCATACTTAAGTCACTAAGTTTAATTAATTACATTAGCATGCGGATCTAACTGTTCATCGATAGGTTCGCCAAATATATTAATATATATATATATATATATATATATATATATATATATATATATATATATTATAGTTAATATATTATTATATTATTTATACACTTTATATGTTTGGTTATTATTATTATTATTCTACTAAGTTAATTTTAGTAAAACTCTTTGATCTATATACTTAACTTTTTTTATCATTATTAACAGATTTATGTCACCATTTTGACATTTTTATTGTATTAGGTTATATACTTTATTTTGTTGTTAATCATAATAAAAACAATTGTAATTTGTTACATTGTACAATGCAATAAACTTAGTTGACATTGGACGACTGTGTTGTTTTTTTTTTTGCATTAATTAAACATGGCTAATTACACGCAGGTTTATTGATGTTACTGCCCTTTGATATTTATCAACAATAATAGCTCTTGCAAAAAAAGTAACTTATAAGAATTTCCATTTTAGAGAAACATTAGTAATACACAAATTAAACTATGTTCACGTAGTTCAGCCCGGCTTAGCCATAAATAGTTCTAAAGAAAAAAATATTTTGTGGTTAATGGTTTAATTAAATATTTCATTATTTTATTTCTTTAATATACATAACCACAAGTGTTGCTTAAGTTTTTTCTAAATGCCATAATAAAGTTACATATTATGTTATGGTTTAAAATCCCTAACGCTAACATATGCAAACACAAAATGTGCATAAGCAAAGCTTCGTTCTAATAATTTCATAAACTATACTTTATCAACAGAAGTTTATGATTTTATAATAATATAATTGTAAATTTATAATTAGATTATTTTATATTATAATTATTTTAAGCGTGGGTTATACTTTTTCCTTTAAGTAGTACCTATTTTGGTGATATAAGTGCTTTTGATGTGACATAACAATTATGAGACGTTGGCTGGTCCAATTTCATATCTGTAAGAATAAAATAATTTGAAATTGTGGTGAAAACCGATTTGATTTTAAAAATCCAGTTTGTTGTAATTAAATTAATTAAATTTTAACATTGTTCATTATAAAAACGAATTTTTTCAAATAAAAAAAATTAAAATCCATATACAACATATTAAAGAAGCTAAAGTACTCGTTGCTTTTTAAGAATTAAAAGACCAGCCTAAAAAGCCTAAATTTTGTTAGGCTTTTTGGTCTAAAACATAAAACACGAAGACCTGCTTTCATTAATCTCAAATATAACTTATTAAATATTGAGTTTCATAACTATTTTGAAAAACTAACAAAATAGACAAAGAAAAAAGATTTCAAAGAACATGCCTAGAATGGTTAAACGCCAAAATATAGATCTAATTAGAAAACAATGATCCAGAAGAATGTTTTAGAATTAGTGTTTTATTTCACTAGTTGACAACTAAATGTCAGATTTATTAAGAACAAAAATATTGTAGCTGGCTTTAATTTTCTATTTAAAGTTATGGTAAAAAAAGTGCTCAAAGATTGAAGTGAGTTGTAATCAAATAATATTAACCAACAGTTTTTGAAACAGATTTGAAGTTAAGAATTTGATACAAATTATGAAAAATTGAGTGAACGTGAAATAGACGCATTGATATATGCAATTAAGATCTGCTCCCAATGTTTTTGGAATCCTTTTAATCTTTTCTCTGTTATATCTAGTGAATTTAAAAAAAACTTATTTATTAATTGGTTATAAATTAAAAAAAAATTAAATTAAGGATTGGTTTTTAAAAGTGAAAATAATATTAGTACAGCTAAATATAAGGACTTGTTCTACACTCTTTCTATCTAGGGCCTAGGCCCTAGGACCTAGGCTTTATCTAAGGCAGTAAATCAAATTAAGATTATAAAATAGACATTACAATCAAAAATTATGGACAACAAGTTTTAAATAATCAAATTAATATTTATTTATAATTATTTTAAAATTAAAAATATTAGCAAGGGAAACCACTTCCATGACTAAGCATGTGGATACTTGTAATTCAAAAAATACTTAATCATTAGTACATACTAATTAGCAAACAGACATTGTTATGATTCATAGATCTTAAGACATGTTCAAATTGTCTTTTAAAATACTATTAAGATATTTTTAATTTTACAAAATGATATATTTTCAATTACGAGCTCACTTTAGAATATTAGACAACATATATAAACATAATAAAAAAATGTATAACTTTGGAGTATGTATTATGTCAACGTTCATGCTTGTGTTAATGCTTGCGATAAATTATAATAACAACTCATGATTTAGAAAGTAAAATAAGTTTTATTGAATCTTAAAGTTTAAACATTGACAATGAATAGTAAATAATAGTATTGATAAATTGTAACTACTAATCGATGCCACGGAAATAAAGTTTATAGCTTATATCGCTTTATGCAAAAGTGACCTTTGTTAGGCTTACACCAAATAGCCTTTAAACAGTAAAAAAAACTAAAAGATATATTAAAACCGCTTTATGGTTAAAACAAAAAATTATAAAAAAATTTAAGAGAAAAAATAGTTAGTAATTTCAAAGTTATTACTAATAAAATTTAAATGTACCATGTAAAACATAAATGTAAAAAAGTGTAAAACAAATAATCTACAAAAACTCCAATAATTAAGAAATTCAAATTTATGAAAAACAAAAATGTATTGTATTTTATTTAAATTTTAGTTTTATATATGTTTGATGAATAAATAATGAAGTTACTATATGGAAGGATCATACTTTTTATACATTAAATTAATCTTAGTTACCTAAATCTACGATCAATTAAATTATTTGAATGAAAATATATTGGATAAAAATAAATAATACAAATTATTTAATACAAATGTTACACACTTTTCAAATATTTATTTACTAACATAATATTTTTTCTGCTACAGCCACAGGTTCTCTCGGCATATTAAATTTCAAATGTTCATTGTCTGCAATAAAAATCACATTTTATTTATAATAATATATTTTTATTTTTATTTTATTATTTGATACATTTAGAAATAACAGAATGCTAGACACAGCATTATCAGGTTACACATTTTTTACACACCAACAAAGGTAGTATAGGTATTCAAATAACGACAATCATCTGACATAAAATTGTTTTCCTGCTTAACTTTTTATTAGTGATTCAGTTGAATTAATTTAGTGGGACTGTTTAACTAATACGTTTCACACTGATTCGAAATTTTGAACTATACAAAACAAGAAATCTGTAATCGCTATTGATTTGCTAATTTAATTTGATAATTGGATACGACTAAAATATAAAAATGAGCAGTTTTTTTTCTTAAAATATGTATGAATATACACATGCACCAATATTCGTAGATATAAACAGTGTTAATTAAATATTATAACAATAATCAAAGTACAAGGTGAAGTTCGGAGATGTCGTAACAGAGGACTTAAAAGTAATAGGCTAGGCAAGGTGATGCCTTGTCCCCAGCTCTGTTCAAAATAGCGTTGGTATCGGTTGTATGAGAAACCCTAGTAACAGCGAGTGGAGTTAAAATTAAAGAGAAATTCAGTCTTACAGCTCCTAGTAAAAAAAAATGTCTCCATTAAAAAACTAGTACCAAATGTTTTACATACATACAAGTAAGTACTTTAAAAATTTCAAAACTTTTGGTTCATGTCATAAAAAGGTATAGGCTCTTAAACATATCAGTTTTTAGTAAAATGTCAAACTTTGAGGTTACTTGTAATTTTTAATATTGTAATATTGTAATATTTGAAATTTTGACCTTGAGTTAGTAAAAAATTGAATAAAATTAATAAAATGTTCAATTTGTTGTTCAATTTTTAAGTACTTTAAAATTTGACAAAAAAATTGTTTAAGTACATTATGAAAAAGAACACTTAAATTCAAATTGTTCAGTGAAAGTTCCATTTCCATATCATAATTAGTCATTAAGTAACGTGATCGTGAACTTAAGGTGTTTTTACAACAAATTTTCTTCATTTTTCTGATTTTATGAAAATATCTGCGTAGGATATGCAAGTTTGAGGCATTTCAAAAATCCACTCGTACGCACATAAGGTGATTTGGCATGGAATGACCTAGATGAAATAACTATAATAGCAGAAAATGAAGCGAGTCTAAAGGATACTACAAGAAATTTACTGTAAAATGGAAAGAGAATTGGGTTAACAATAAATGAGGATAAGACAAAATATATAGGATTAACTATAGAGTGCGATACTTGGATATTGGTGACAATAAATTTGAAAGAGTGAATGATTTCAAATACCAAGGGGTAGACATCAACAAGACACAAATAGCCATGAGGAAATAAAACCTAAATTAGCAACGGCAAACAGACGTTATTTTGAATTGGTTCCTCTATTTAAACAAAAGATTTTATCATGGAAGACAAAAATAACTCTTTACCAGTACTACCGCCTTGTATATATGTGAGGCATGGGCCACAACAAAGTCGGATGAATTTAAACTGGCAACTTTTGAACGGAAAATATTAAAAAAAATCTATAGACCAAAAATTAACAATGAAAGAGAATATGAGATAAGGACAAACCAGGAGATTCATGACCTGTACGGAGGAGCAAATATCAACGGAGTCATAAAAAGTAGTAGATTAACCTAGGCTGGACACGTATGGAGATCCGAAGGTCCAATTGTACAAGTTATGAAATGGAGACCAAACACAATAAGGCCAAAAGGGCGTCCTAGATAAAGATAGAAGATTAGAGTGGTCAAGAACTTGGAATAGAGAATGGGAAAGAACATGCTAGGGACAGAGACCTTTGAAGGCAAGTGATTGTTGCGGCAATGAGCCTAAATGGCCTATAAAACGCTTCGAAGAAAGAAAGAAAGAATTTTATTTACTCATTTCATTTCAAACCTACTAAATATTTTAATAATACGTTGTCCCTTAAATTACCATCTAAAATATAATTATGATTTGGCTCAAGTATAATAAATCATAACTAATTTTTGCCAAAATATAGCATTCATTTGTTTTTAGGTGTGGACTAACATTGAAATCACTGTATCAATTAACTTAATTAATAAATTAAAAATTGCACATTTAAAGAATAAATGTTAATCAAGTTCACACTATTGCCCTAATAAAAGAAAAGAAGTTCCTGATTTTTAATTGTTAATAATGTTCCTTACTGTAGTGGTAAAAATACTAAATTAGTACCGAAAAGTTATTAATTTTAACAAAAATTATGGCCACTGCAACAGTCATAGTAAAGTTTCAGTTTAATTTTTTATGTTTACTATAAATGTGGACTTTTAAAATTTTTAAATTAATCAAATTTAACCTGTGTCTAAATCTCACATATTGTTAAATCATATTAACTTGAATACCTACTTATTTCCAAGAATAGAAACTCAAGTTTCTTTCCAATGGTAACATGGTTCCTGCTTCAATCTAACAACCCTCTTATTGTACATCTTACGTTCTCCGCCAAAATGAATCTGATTACTAACACATTGGCTGGGCTCATACTAGATTCGCTTTCCTTGAAGCGCGTGCCACTTCATTGAAATCTGAACAAAACAAATTAAACTACTGTACGTAAGCATATAACTATTGAAAATATAATTTACATACAAACCAATAGCTTAAAATAATAAATTAGTTAAATATTTTTCATAGCAAAAACACCAAACGGAATGTACAATGTTTCGAATAAACTTGATGTAAGCAATATAGGCAATAGTTCGTAACATTTTTGTTATTTCTCTTTTTGAATATCAAAACGTTCACTTTTTAAGGGATGCAATTTCTAGTTGCTAGAGAATACAATTGCGTTATGTGTTAACTTGTTAATTAAGACTTAAGTTAAGAGTAGTGAGAACCATAATCCCTTGTTTATCTATCTTACGCGCCGTTCAAGTGTTATAAGACCTCTTTGGCCGGTTTAGCGTTATGTCACGATTTTTACCTCCGTAGTGATAACGACGTTGCAGCAAACTGTTTTGATAACGTTCGTTTAACTTCGATCAATAGACGTATGACCGTATACATACATGTATATATTGTATGACAAAAAAAAAAAGGGAAACGCCGACCGTAAATTATCTTTTTATTAACTGTAACCAAATTATAATCTTGATTCTTGTTGCCGTTGAGCGTACAACTAGGTAATTGGATTTTATTTAAATATATATTATTTTGTTTGTTCAAGTACTGAACGATTGTTTTGTTTTTACAGTTTCGTTATTTAGAGCGACGCCGATTTCATCATGATTGGCGGTTTGTTTATGTACAACCACAAAGGCGAGGTGCTCATATCTCGAGTTTACCGAGACGATATTGGTCGCAATGCAGTGGACGCGTTTCGTGTTAACGTCATCCATGCACGCCAGCAAGTACGGTCGCCGGTCACGAACATTGCGCGCACGTCGTTTTTCCATATACGTCGAGCGAACATTTGGTTGGCCGCAGTCACCAAGCAGAACGTCAATGGCGCAATGGTGTTTGAGTTTCTCATTCGGTTCACTCAAGTAATGCAGTCCTACTTCGGTAAGATCAATGAAGAGAATATAAAAAACAACTTTGTTCTCATCTACGAACTGTTGGACGAAATATTGGATTTCGGGTACCCACAAAATTGTGACACGGGTGTATTGAAAACATTCATCACCCAGACCGGCGTGAAGTCACAAAGTAAAGAAGAACAAATGCAAATTACGTCTCAGGTCACTGGTCAAATTGGTTGGAGACGAGAAGGTATCAAATATCGTCGCAATGAACTATTTTTGGATGTTCTCGAGTATGTTAATCTGTTGATGTCACCTCAGGGACAAGTATTGTCAGCTCACGTGGCTGGACGTATTTTAATGAAATCCTACTTAAGCGGAATGCCCGAATGTAAATTCGGTATCAATGACAAAATAGTAATGGAATCGAAAGGGACAAAAATTATTGACGAGACTGGTTCCAGGACAGCTGCAGGAAAGCCTGTGGTTGTAATTGACGATTGCCAATTTCACCAGTGTGTTAAACTCTCCAAATTTGAAACTGAGCATTCCATAAGTTTTATTCCTCCAGACGGTGAATTTGAGTTAATGCGTTATCGTACTACTAAAGATATATCATTGCCGTTTAGAGTTATACCATTAGTACGTGAAGTCGGTCGCACACGTATGGAAGTTAAGGCTGTGTTGAAGTCTAATTTCAAACCTTCGCTTTTGGGACAAAAGATCGAGGTCAAAATACCAACTCCATTAAATACTGCTGGAGTACAATTGTTATGTTTAAAAGGTAAAGCTAAGTACAAAGCTTCGGATAATGCTATTGTGTGGAAAATCAAACGAATGGCAGGAATGAAGGAAACGCAATTATCAGCTGAAATTGATCTCCTGGAAACTGACACCAAAAAGAAATGGACTAGACCACCAATCTCAATGAACTTTGAAGTGCCATTCGCTCCATCAGGTTTTAAAGTGCGTTATTTGAAGGTTTTTGAGCCAAAATTGAATTACTCTGATCATGATGTAGTAAAATGGGTTCGTTATATTGGGCGAAGTGGTTTATATGAAACTAGATGTTAGATTTTAATAACTAAAATTGATTTTAATTATTACCTAATTTTTTTTTTTTTTACTTATTGGTTTACTACTATTATGTGTAAAACCCTACATTTATAAAGTATAATAATATTTATTGAATAATGAATTTAATACAATTCACTCATGTAGGCTTTATATAAAATATATCTATTGTTATATAGGCTAGTCATTTATAAATTATTAACAACACATAATTAAATTATCTAATTAGCATTATTTATTCCCAAATTTTTTTTTATCATTGTATCTTTTTTTTATATCAATTATGATCTGTATTTAATTATAATATTATTTATACGCACCTGAGTAAAAGCGTAATTAAGAAATGATATATTAATAGTTTATAACGCCTAATAATAATAAAATAGTATACGTGAAATAAAAGAACAATATTGATGTATCCATCATAAAATGTTAATTATGTCATGTGTAAACTCATTATCTATTATAATTACTATTTAAAAATTATTGTGTTACTCTTCTTTTTAATTGTTTTCTATTTATTTTAATGATGTATAACAAGTATTAGTTATTGTACTTAGGTCATCACTTATTAGTCTCTACAATTACTTATCCACCATATTATTTTAGGTGATTTTACTCAGATAAAAAATTTTTTTTTAATATTATTTGATATTAATACTTATATCTGCACTAAATTATAGGTAAGTACTAAGTGATTAGTTTTCATTAAAAAATATATTATTAAAATATACTCTCAAGATGACTTAAGAACCACAAGTTTGAGCGACTTTATAATATTCTTATTCACGTGATCATGTTAGACAATTATCAATGTTTGTAAAAAACTAATCTCTTCAAATGAATAATTTTTTTAACTTAAAATTGAGAATTAATATCATACTTTGTTTGTTCCTCTAGTAGTGTAACATAATATATTGACTCGGTAAATAATAATAATTTAATTTTTTTTTTTTAAAGGAAAATTATAAAAACATTATTTACACATAAATACTAGTATAAGCAAAAGCAAAAGAAAAATATTAATTTTAACTTTAAATCAGAATCAAAAAAATTTATGTAAATCTAAATATTGACAATTAATTACTTATTTTACTTAATTTATTAATAACTTTACTTATTTTTCTATATTTTGTTGATTTACTGTGACTTAAAATAATTTATTATACTATACTTTAAGCTAAAATAAAAAACTTACTTAATTACTTATAACTACTATGAGGTTATTTTAATTATAATAACTATACTATATAAAAGATCTTTAAAGCTATCACTGCCTTTTAGAAAAAATTAAGCTTATGATAGTATTTAAGTTGATGCAAAAGTAAACACTAAACAATTCTATTATTTACATAAGTCATCTAAAAAAGAATTATTTCTTCAATATAAATGCTAACTTGGTAAGTTCAAGTTGCTAATGGAAATAAGTAACGTGGATAACATTAAAATAGCTACCGACAATTTACATGTTAATTATTTATTATTGAAAGTAGTAACTATAGTAAAATCGGTAAATAGTTGTTAGTAAAAACACAACCCACAAATTATACTGTTTAATAAATCGTGGCAAAATAGTGGACAACCTTGTCACAAAATAGAATACGGATATTTTATTAAACAAATGCATTATTTTGATTAAGAAATAATCTACTTTTTCATGCTTATTTATGAGTATTGATACACCAAACAAGATTACAATTAATAGGTAGTTTAGTTATTGTGAGCAATATTGAAGAAAATATACTATAATGTCTTTTAAACAAACATGTAACAACATCGTGCCATGAAAGACTAAATCACTGATAACATAATACTTTATTATAATGTAAATGCTCTAGGTATCTATTTTTAAACAACAAAATTCGAAGTTTCTTGTCTTTCTTACTTCCTGATTGTGTAGTATATATATATATGGCTATCGTGTAGGGGCAGCGTACTGCGTAATTAGTCCGTAATTGGCATCGTTGGGATATCTAGGTGATATCTAACAATATTTAATTAGATAATTAATAATTACTTGCTCGCTAAAATACCAATTTGATATATTGTAAATACTTAATACAAAAAAATACTTTGGAAAAATTAATCACACGTTATTGTGTACCTTTAGATTTACATAAATCAGTACCTATATGATCTTGTAGTTGCGAAAAAAGACGATATACAACTAAGACTACCTATCTCTTAAACTTAAGCTTTAACTGTACAATGGACTACATTTTCTGACTACGTTTTCTGTTAATTTGTTTCGAAAATATCTTTTTAGCAGTTTGCTCATGAGATTTTTGTATAGGTCTTCAGAATTCCCTTTCTTCTGGTTAGCTTTGGACGTTACCATGTTCATGAAGCCCTTGGCGCCCGCCTTGCAGCACTTGCACAGACAACTGAACGTATCCACGAAACAACGCAGCGACGGAATCAGATTCAGCGGTGGTGGAAGATCGGTGTGCACGGAAAACGATAGGAAAACTTGGGTGCGACCGAACACCCATTCGATGTACGAGTTACCCGTGACCCTCTGGAACGTGTTGGTCATGGTGGCGATTAGCATGTTCAGCATGATTATCACCGACAGCGTTTCGAATATCGCGTACAACAACGTGCCCACCGCTTGCGTGACATAGTGGTTGTTGACCTCCGGCATTTCCTCGAGTGCTGCTGTCATGTCGTTCGCGCCGTTGTTCTCGATGATAACCGACCCGGCCGTGGACGACGTCATGCAAAATATACCCCAGAACAGTGTCTTCAGCGTCGAGTACACGCTGACGAATGAATCGTCTTGTGTTATCTCACGACCGTTGACGGGATTGACCTGTGTCATTCCGTCGTAGTACTGGTAAAGCCGGCACAGGCCTGCGGTGAAAGCCAGTATAATAATACCGAACAGTATGGCGAACCGCGAGAAGTCGGTGGTCATTTTGCCCAGCGAAACCTGCATTGGGCCCAGCGCATAACTGAGCTGACACAGAAACAATAATCGCAGATACGACATGACTGTGGCAATAGCCAACATGCCCTCGGCGATCAACACAGGGTTGGTCCAGTGCCAATAACGGCGGTCATTCGGGTCAACCGTAGTAATCGAGTTGTCGTCGACTGCGGCCTTGCCACTGTTGACGTACGACAGGCCCCAGCAGACAAACGTTACCGCAAAAACGGCGAGCTTGACGCAATCGTACACGTTCCACAGCATGCGGAAATACCGTTTGGGCCCTTGTACACACACCAATCTGAAGATACGCGCCACGAACGATATGAAATACACAAAAAGCGCCCACTTGAGCGCGACGATATACATGGAGTTTTGATTCGCCTGCGTCTTGTCTAGGTTGTTGGCGTACGTGAGTAACACAAGAAACACGACGTACGAGGCCAAATAATTGAGCATCCGGTTGACAGGCAACGCGTAGTGTTGGCCGCGTTTCGTGTACGGCCCCAGCAAATAGAGCAGCATAATATAAGGTAGCAGTACTATCCGAGGCAGCACGATATAACTCTTGTATAACGGTCCCAAGCGCTTCCATTCGTACCAGTCACCGGCCCACGCCTTCTCCAGCGTCTGTTGGACGTACGCGTGTGCTACGAACTCTTTTTGTTTCAAATCCATGGCCAGCACTAACCGATGATACGGGAACGTACCGAAGAAAGTGCAACCCTCCTGATTAGACAGTATCAACTCCACTTCGGCTGACGACCGACACAGCCCTATCAGGTTGACCGCGAACAACCTAGTATGCAGGTCCAGTATTTGGTAGTCCGACTTGAATATCCTGTCTACGTCACCGTGATCCCGGAGCATCCGGCTAAGATGGAACGACGTTAATATCGGATCGTCGGATGTCAGCGATATGTACGCTGGATTAGAGATTGCTCGAAAGACGGACAGCTTCGTCTCGGCCGCTCCCAGTCCGTTGTTAAGTTGAGCTAGCGATTTGCACACCTAAAGCATTCCGTTGGTACGGCAAAATATAAGTTATTATTCGCAACGAGGCACGTAAGTTATCTACATTCACCTCTTTGCACACACACGTGGGCTTGTGCGGTATGGCTATGGTGTGCCCCCGTTTAAGTAGTAAGCTAATAATTCTGAACAGTCCGCACTGGGCGGCCAACATAAGTGGCGTCAGGTATTGAGGGTACACCGCGGAGTGTTCGTAGCCGACAAACGCCTTCTCCGGGTTGGTCTCTTGTAACATGTCAAGGAATTTGACGACAATGGAATATCGGTTATTCTGGATAGCGTACATCAACGAGTCGCCGATATCTAGTCCGGGACGCGCCAACAACATATCTATAATCGGCTCGCAGTTACCCTCGATGGCCAAGTTCAAACCCGTCATGCCATGATAATTCTTGCAGTTGATATCCAGGTCTTTGTGATCGCTGAGCATACTGTTTACAGACGAAACGTCACAAGACTTTACCATATTGAAAAATTTATTTTGAACTTCTTCGATAGGCGACTTTTGTTTGACGGTGCGCAACGATTGGTTGCTGCTGGTAATATCTGTGGCAGATACATACGAATCGACTGAGGTAGTTTCAATATTATCGCTTGACGTTCGGGACATAGTCAACTATACACGTGTAATGTTTTTTTGCAAATATTAGCCAATAACTCAGTTAATAGTTTTTAAACTAACTCAGACGTATTTGATGCGAATAAGCAACCCTGTAGTAACTATAGTTTTGATAATAAGTAATAACGTATAAATATCGGTGTTTTCAACAGACCAGCATATTTTGTAATAGATAGGTATATTCTTATTATAAATTGAATAATACTAATTAAAATATTATGTAATACTAATATTAAGCTTATATTGCAATTATACATGGAATAGCGTCAGCGGTGGCATCACTGATGGCACTATCAGATATTAAGGGTATATCGTTTTTTCAGTGTTATCATGAACATAATAATTTACATAAATAAAAAATTAATTATTATAAATATATATATGTACATTATATAATATTTTATGATATTATGATATAATATTATTAAAATATAAAATTAAACGTTATCACCATACAACAAATGAGATGACAACCAAGGTGGATTTATCAGGTGTTAACACTCGCTACCCATTACCGTACGAAAGGTTGATGGACAATATCGCACCAGTTGAACACTCTGCTAGATCGCGTTGGTTACCCGATAAAGTCTCAACAATGCATGTACAGCATACGCAAAATTGATTTAAATTGAAGTTATTTACATCAAATATCAATTATATTAAAGTTTTATTAATTTTGGTTGTTCTAATACATTTACAATACATTAAGAAATTTATTAAAGTGTTATGTAGAATTAATTATTTCAATTAGTAATTAGTTATGCCCAAATAGGTAACCTTTTGGCTTCTGCATTAATAAGTGCATACCTTCCTATACTGCATTAAATTAATATATTTGAATTTACCTACTTGTTGTTAAAATATTTTATAGCAATATTTAAAAAAAATTGTTTATCAATGTTGAACTGAGATATTACTCAGTACAACATTGATAAAAAAAAACATTAAAAAATGGAGTAGTTCTTAAAATATTACGCATTTCTTGTACAACAATAGTACTAAAAAATAATTTGAACAGAAATTGTATACATGACAGCAGTAGTCAAAGGGTTAAAATACTGGGTGATTCTTTTAACGCCCTACATTAGTTTACTCTTAAAATAATTGCAAATGTGTAGTGGTTATTTTTGAAAAACATTTTGATTATACTATATTACTATATAAAACAATATTTAAATTTTTATCTTTTTTAGTATTTTCTAGAGCTTTATCAACTTTTGAAACTTAAATGGTAACGTAAGTATATTTTTAATTTTTTAAATTAACAATAATTTGCTGAAGATGAAGTGAAGCTAAATTTTTGTCGGCTCTTGGAAATTTTGATTCCATTTATCAATTATATCCTACATAATAATAAAACTATATAACTGAGCAAATTGAAGGTTACCCTATGTTTTATTGCATAATATATGTTGGAATTCCTAATTTAGACCTTACTCAACTCTACCTTTAAACTGTCCCTAACTTAACCATATACAATATTTAAAAATGCTATTAAATAGATTGCTGCATGTATTCAATAATTATTGTCAACTTTTACTAGTCTATACTTCAGATATTTGTTTTAACTTTCATTAAACTGACACATTCATGCTTTAGTCTTGCTAAGAAATTGTTAAAAACTAACTACTAAATAGTATAAAGTTCTGTACGAATACCATGTCATAAGAATTAAACCCGAAGCATCCTAAATCATTATCGAGTTTACCAAATATTTGAGTTAGCATAATATTTGCGAAGGATAAAACATAGATGGATATTTTTTTTTTCATTTTTGTATGATTTAATATCATTGGGCAATCCAGTATTGCACCCAGGTACAAAACATTTGTTGGGCATTATTTGGTTAAAAAACGTAACCAAGTCTTAAGTCTAAAAAAATCTTAATTGAACAACGTGTGCAGCATTAATCGCGCTCAAAGGGATGATTTTCAAAACAAAAGCTCATGTTTTTTGAGACTTTATCGGGTATCCAACGCCATCTAGCGGAGAATTCAACTGGAGCGTTTTTTTCAATCAGCTAATCGGCAGAGTGTTAACACCTGATAAATCCACCTTGATGACAACCACATATCATCAACCTTCTCGGAAACAAGGCGAGTGATAAAGCCATCTTAGGTGCCATCGGAGATTTTCGGATTTAAAAACGAACACCAATGCCACCGGTGTCATCACAGATGGATTATAGAGTTTATGTATAGATGCACAGAATATATGAAAGCAGAAGGATCATTTTCAATATAAGCAAACAAGTGACGGCCATTTTGTAAAGTCTATTTAGTATGTTGATAATAATACATTTCTGGATGGACCGCCGTGGATACTGAATTGTACTGCTAGAGGCCGCCCTATATTCCGTGATTAATTTGTACGCCAGGACGGCCAGAATTGGACGATGAAACTGACGAATCGCATATTGTACTTATGTGCCGTTTAAATAAATATGCAACATATATTACCTGCCGACTAAATTTTGAAACTATAATTGTAAATTAGCAAATATTAAGGGCTTTCTGGTGATATACGTCTCATATTTGTACTCATAGCCGTATAACCCTACGACGGATCTATAGACGATTATTGCAACGTATCTATATCGCATATAAAAGAATTGTTTTATTTTTATTTTAAAGGAGAAGGGATAAACTTTAACACTAAAATGTTGGGCTCAAAAAGTACATTTTAAGTACGATTTCTGTTTGAGATGTTACACGGTTCAGCTGTTTGGCAGTCCTGGCACAAAACAAAATAAAAAGATAACAAATCAATACAGAGGGGTCGGGAGATAGTGGAGACGGAGTTTATTGGGAAGGGAGAGGTCACATAAATTATTATAACTGGAAGTGATAAAATCACTTTTAAATAATTTCATCGATGCTTATCTGCATAGTTATACAAGCATCGCCAATAATGGTCTTAAAATTGTATTTTTAGTATTAGTGTGGGTACGATTAGGGTTGGTCGCCTGTTAATAATAATTCATTGTCGTTGTTTATTTTTTATAAACCTGTTGGTTTTTGATTCAAATTAAGCAACCTGGAAATTTACAACGGTATAAGTTCAATTGTCCCCTTTTTGGGGGGTTTTCCTTAATAAAAATAAAGTTTTACAACAGATTTTTGAGTAAATAGTATATGTTTTAGCCTAGTTTTAAACTAGATCTATCATCAGTTAGATTAGGGTAGGTATCGTCGTATCGAAACTAAAATAAAAAGGTAGGTATACACATATACGAGTATATATATATATTTATACTTATAAATTACTTGGATATTTTAAAATATCTAAATAAAATTACTATCTCAGTATTTGCGATACAATCAAAAGCACTCAGAACAAAGATTGAACTGCTGACTTCCCGCAAGGACACCTGTATCTCCTGGCCTAAGATCCGTGTAAAAATAAATCCTCGGACCTACTTTTGAGCTAATCCAACCCGGGTTACTTTGCTTTGTTTTACAAGATTTGATTATCAAAACGGTAAAAATTAGTGTTCGGAAAAATCAATGATGTTATTGTTATCTACAAGTACTCGTATAGCAATAATATGTAAAGTAATAAACAATAATATTACACGGATATTATTCGCATATTATAACAGTTCGGTAAAAAAACCCTGCCGCTTAGAGGCTGCTTTCTGCTTACCCCCTTTCCGCTAGTCCTCACTGGTCTAACGACCCCACATTCAACGCTCCCGGATCGATTGCTGTCGCAAGTACCAACTGTGCACAGCTCGGGCATACTCGGGATTTGCAGAACCTGGTGGCTGGTGCGGCGTCTCCGTACGTGGGCGGTGACCGTAAGACGGCGGCATAAGCAACAGTGCTATTATAAACGAGTACATACAATTCAGACGAGTACCTTAAGCTCTGCTGATAACTAGTGGACGATTTCAGCCGCCGAGTTCATCTTGAATACCGAGCACACAAAACCGTAAGTCATAACTAAATTTCACCGTCTGTTGAACGTAATAACAATATTCGATACTCGTCTATAGTATAGTTATATATTATATATTATAGTATACCCCTTCACATTATCTGGACGTTTAATATACTGGGCAAGCATTGGCAATAAAGGTGGTAGCAATAACAGGTAACTATATAATATCAGGTGTCGTATACCTACTGTTATGCGTAAATGCAGTACTCTAAGTCAGTTTAAAATTGTCTATTTTCTTTCCGTTATTAGGCGTATTGTGTCACGGTGTAATTATCAAACCAATAACGGCTTAACACAAACCGAGAGAAGTTGTGCACGATGGGGTTGCTTGTACAGGCATTAATACTGATTATTGTCAATGTGTCGTTTCACTGTCTCTGCATTAACCCAGCGGACGTAATATTTGCCGTTAACGCTGGCGGCGAAGAACATGTGGATCTTAATGGGATACGGTATGTAAGAGATTATAATAATTTCGGCATCGCGTCTGACTACGGGAAAAATAGATACATACATCGAGTAGCACAGCACGACCAGATTCTTTACCAAACGGAAAGGTATGCTCTCAACACGTTCGGCTATTCAATACCGATCGACATTCAAATGGAGGGTGACTACGTGATGGTGTTGAAATTCAGTGAAGTCTACTTCATGGGTTCAGGCGAAAAAGTACTAATTATTTCTATTAAAAATGATATTAAGTTATAGGTATACTGGTATTAAAGAGCATTGATTTCAGGTGTTCTCTGTGGTCCTGAACGGTCTCACTGTTGTACCCCACCTAGATATTTTTGAAGAAGTCGGGTACTCAGTTGCTCATGACGTATATATTGAATTTCAAGTGTTTGATTCAACCTTATATTGGAAAAACAAGAGGTCCAGAATTGTGTCTAATCAGATACGAGTAGACTTTGTGAAAGTATGTTACTTTTTGTAACTTTAGAAAATTAGTTTGTTTTCCTTCATGATATGAGTCTTAATACATTAAAGTTACATATTGCTATTCTATATTCTACAGACAGGGTCGGAACTTGGGGGTGTTATCTTAGCCACAAAATATTAAACAAGTGGGAGGAAGCGCAAAATTCGAAAACTCAATTAAATTTCATTTACTATTACTTTGGGTGCGAATATTGCTTGGTCCGACCCTGTATATAGAAACTTGCGTAGGAGAGACCACTAACAATTAAATACTTTGATTTCATTATATTTTTTATTTATCAACATTTTTTCTATAGGGTGAAAAAGACAATCCCAAAATTAACGCAATATATGTAGCCCATTGTACAATCGTAGGTAAGATCAAAAGTGTTTTGTAAAAGTTTCGTCCATACACTTATTCTGTGTCTGTGCTTGGCGACTGACATAATATATTTATGGCATATCGCATGCCAATGACTTTTGCTTCCTAATGTACCTATTTAAAGTCGTATATTTTTGTTTAGATATACCAAAATTACCATGGTTCCATTTCGTGCAAGAACTACATCAATACGACTCATCACAGGAAAACGACGAAGCCTCTCAATATGAAGAATTACAAGCGTATATTGAAGAAAAAAAAGCACAGTATAAACATCCTAATAATTACAGAGCTGTACCACCTGAACCTACGTATAAGTGGTTCTCCCAATATTTTATTGTGATAATGTTTGTCCTTTTTAGCACCGCGTTAATATATTTAACTTCTAATTTTGCATAAATAGGCAATTTTAACTTAAACTACACGTATAATATTTGGCTAGTTATTGTATAACACATACAGATTACTGCAGGATTTATTAAACTTTTTGTTTGTTTGTGAAATGAAAACTAATTTTTAATATTTATATATCTATGTTAGGGTGGTTAAAAAAACCTTAACTTTTAATTTTTTTTTCTTCTCTTGAGAATATATTATTTGGATCAAATATATTTTGATATTTTTTTTTAGATTTTTAAACACATTTCTAGATGTGGATTCGATCGATTTTGTATCAAAAGTTCAATTTTTAAAGTTTTTTTTTTATTCAATAATAAATGCTTAAAAAACAAATATTTTATAAAAAAATCATCAGCATAAAAAAAAATATATATGTTGATACTCACTTGGTAAAAACAATACGAAATTGCTAAAGTTATGAACCAAAATAAATTAAAATTGTTGATAAGAAAAAATCAACAAAACTATCCTAAACTAATTTTAAAGAATAAAAAAAATCATAGCATATTTTCTATATAATTACAAAATCATAATAATAACATATTCATTTTTTTAATGTTAAAAAAAACAAAAATTGCAAAAAAATTAGAAAACAATTCTAATTATGAAACTTTTTATTTTTCACACAGAAATACTTATTTTCTTCCGTTTTCTCGATCTATTCTTCTTTTATTTCCATAATAAAATAAATTATAATTAAAATATTAATAATAAATAGTAAGCAAAATTTATTCCACAATAAAATTAAATTTATAGAATCTCTAACAAACATAGACAAACAAAAATATATAACAAATTGGATAAAATTTGTTTGTCTATATTTGTTAAGTATTCTACATATTCCATTTTATTATATTATATATTTTTGAGTAGAAAAATAAAGTTTCGTGATTTAGAAATCTCATCTAGAAATGGGGTTAAAAGTTTGAAAAAAATATCAAAGTTATCTTTTCATCCAAATAATATTATATCTCAAGAAAAGTATACAAAATAATAATTTAATAAGTTTTTTTAACCACTCTAATATATATAATATAATATAAATATATTAGAAATTTATTTTAAAAAATTCTTAACATTAAAACCCCTAGATCAAATCTAAGTACTTCTTCGTACATTTGATTAACAATGGAAATTTTAATTTTTCGTAAAAAAATTCTTACTTGAAAACTAATAAAATTGTTTTTAATATGCTACCGAATGAGGAGGATTGACTTAAATAAAATTATAGTAACATTTCAAACCAAACATGGTCGTTTACCAGCCACTATTTGTTCTTACTATTGTAATTTTTTAAATTGATTATTTTGATTTGTATAATATTGATTGAGTTAATTGTGAAATATATATGTATAATAATAACTTATTTGAATATACCATGTATAAATACATATATATATATATATATATATATATATATATATTAAACCCAGTTGGCAAACATATAAATGTTTAATAATAGTCTTTTGAACAGACAATTAATATCTTACGACTTTACGAGTATTGCTTAAATATTCAAACAATATTTCTGTAAGACGTTACATTTAGTGCCGAAAAATGACTTTGCCAACGAAAGAAAATAATATGTTTTTCTGATTTCCTGCATTTCTGTAATTACTGTATGCTTTCGTTATAATTTCATTGGAATGCTCTTATTATACTAAGATTATATAATATCTCAACTCGTTTTTCAAATTATTAATGTTTTGTGTGGTAGAAACAAACATATATTGGTTTTAGAGTAGACAATTATCTAAAATAATAATCTAAGCAAAATATAGTATTTTGATGAGCCAAAATATTATAGATCTGTACTAAGTTCATTTATGCCCGACTTCCAGTAACGTGATTATCATAAATATTATTGTGCCAATAAAGTATTAACATTATATATTACTGTGAAATTGATTGATACACACGTTGTACATTTTTCACTTATTGTAATATTTGTAAGCTGGTATTTTTTTCTATTGGTGTTATTACAAGTTAAAGAACTCTACAATAGTAAATGTAAATTAAATGTTGTATAAAAAATACATAAATAATTAAACATATTAAATATTTTAATTTTTTTTTTATTAAATCGTTAATACTAGTAAATTATTGAACAAGTTGAATTTAGTAAAGAGATAGAGAAATTGATAGGTACTTTCCTATACTTAAGTTATTATGTCTAGTACTAGTATTAATCAAAATAGGATGCTTTTTATAGATAAAATGACGCTAGCAGTTGCCTAGTAATTGCCGGTGTTGAAATTATGTCAAATAGCTAATATATATTATATTTAATTAGTATTTGTACAATACTTATATTTACTAAGTAACTTTAAATAGGATTAGAAGTAAATACGAGTAGTAATAAATTATAAGTGACAAAGAAACATATTTAAAACAAGATAGAAATTAATATTTATATTACATTTTAAGGACTACTTTTTGAAATATTCATATATGATATAACTCTTGTTACATTAACCAAAAACATAATTATATGTAAATTAGCATTAAAAAAAAATATGTTTTAATCAATTGAAAAAACTACTGAAAAACGACCACAGTATTCAAAATAGTTATATGTTTTTTCGACTTTTCTATAAATTTTTACCTCTTTTTTTTGGTTTTTTAATCGTTTTTATGGAGATCCCATTTTCTCAGCTTTCTGAAAAAATATTTTAAAATATTGTTTAATTTAAGGCAATACGAAAAACACAATTTTTTAGAATATTAACTCAAATCAATAAAATAAATCGGTTAAAAAAATCAATTTTTTCAGAAATCTCAGATTATTTTACGTGAGAAACTGATTTTAAAACATTTTTTTTTGATGCCCAAAGATACTCAAAAAAAAGATAAAAAAGAGGTGTCAAGAGTCAAGACAAAAACTCAAAATACTTTTTACGACCATGGCCAAAATAATTTTAAAAAAATGTTGATACTATTCTTTTCATTGTAACATACATGCAGTGTAATTTTCAAATTTTTCAAAAAAAATCGGTGGAGGGTCGATCTAAACGTTCGTTTATATTTAACGTTTTGAGTTTTGACCCATTTATTATATAATTACTCAACGATTTATTAAACTGTTATTCAACAAACAAATTATTATTCAGGCCATCAATTTGTCATTTTATGCTATTACCTTTCTAAATGGACATTTTTTTGCCTCTGAAAACGCTGGGTAAGTACCAAAATCACACATAAAAGTAGTTGAAGAGTAGAACCAAGAGTTGAGATTTACCACTAGATGGTGTTAGTAAATTAATTTCAGTTTCTAGTAACTAAATAAATCTCTAGTTCGGTTAACGTCATCTGGTGTGAAAAAAACACATTACACCAGTTAATTTTTGTACATAGATAGCGTATATTATTTATCTACAACCTTACGATAAAAAGGCATCAGAAGTGATTTTTGATAAGTCACTAAAGTAGCAAGCAGGTAGGCATTTATTGTACACTACACACAAAACGGTACAACGATAATAGAGATATCACCTAAAGGCCAAACATCACAATTTGTCATATTCGGTTAATTTAACTTAATTTTGCTTGATAAGGAATTGTTTGTGCCAACATATGTCATACGTATTAAAATATATGCGTTGTCCTTGGTAAATAAAAAGGACATACATATGTATTTATAAAAAATTGACTATTATTGAAAAGTAAATTTATTTTCCCAATTGACAAACCACTCAGAGCTGAATTTTACTTAATCATATAATCGTAAATAACTTTCTAGTATTGTATTGAGTAGAATTCGACTATCAAACTCGGATCAGAGTGCAAAGTCGCAATTCGTAGACATGATACGTATTACATTTAACTCAATTTAATTCAATTTAATGGTTAGTGTCAACCGCCACTAGACGACCACTTCAACATTTAATCTACGCAGTTACCGACAAAAAACTAGTTGAAAAAAAAAGGATATACTAATTACTGTCAATTTATTTTTCTCGTTGACCATCCGCACACATACGAGATCGGTGCAAAATTGTATATTAATTTGTTATTATATAAAAAAAATGCAACCCCATAAAGAATATTATAAGTTTCTATTTATTCCTAAATAATAATAGAGCCTACATTTTGTTATAGGCTTTATATATAATATATATTGGCAATTATTTCAATGCGCCGAGTTGATATGGCGATAATAAAAATAAAATTGGGTAGGTGGGTACGCTTTATTCGAAATCATATTGTAGTTATTAAGTTTGGCGATGATATTTTAAAGGAGAAATGCTACAAACGGGTATAAGCAACAGCACCAGTTTGAAATGTTCATGTTCTCGCCTCGCGCGTACTTTGGGAACCACTGAAATAAAAAATCGTTATTTCGTGACCCACAAAACACACGTTGCGCAAGCGATATGGCCCTATACTACAGGCGTGGGGTAAATGCGGACAACGACCCCTGTCCCGTGCGATCAGCAATGCGGCATTCGGCCGGGTTGTCATGACAATACCAAGGCTGCGCGAAAGGCCCCTCGACCCTCACTGGATCAATACTTAACGACTTGGCTGGGTGTACGGTCGGCTGGGTATGCTCTTTTAACATCCCTAAACGAACACGAAAACCATCAACGTGTAATAGGGAATTATTCACGTAGGTACCCTTACCAGCCCTTGCGTTTTGTATTCTTTACATTAGCGCCGCTCGACATAAACGTGCAGTGTTGGCAGTTTGCAGTCAAATGTCCACAATGTACCCCAGAATAACATCAGCGATTATGTGCATTTGCTTTATCCCGAGTTAAATATTTGTGGCACGGTTTATAAATTATAATGGGCAAAAAAAGCCGACTCCTTTCGTTTTCAACTTATTTGTGATAAATACATTCTAATCGTATTTATCTGGTCCCTAAACACAGTACAATCCAAAATATAAAAAGCACTACCTACACAGTACAACAATACTATAATACTTTTTGCTTACGCAACAAGTTAAACCAAATCAAAAGTCATCCCCTCGTATTTTTGCTGATTGACGCTATACTTTATTATGTTGAAAATTTACCTCAAATTTGCCTAGTATTAAATCTACTAATTTGAGTAATTTGATCAATGATCAATAAATCAATTTGCGTTTA